CATTTGTTAACAACACCATCTTTGCTCCTTTGTACAGTTTGCCTCATTGTGAAATATCACTTGACTATATTTGTGTGGGTCTGTTTCTGGGCTCTCAATTCTGTTCCTTGCTCTATTAGTCTAATATCTCGCCAATAGCAAACTATCTTGATTACTGTATCTTTATAGTAAATCTTGAAGTTGTACAGCAAGTCATTTAACTTTGTTCTCCTTTAGTACTGTGTTAGATAAACTGGGTCTTTTGTCTTTCCATATAAACTATAGAATCAGTTGTTGTCCAAAAACCAACTTTTGGAGATTTTGATTGAGATTGCATTGCATCTATAGAACAAACTGGGAAGAAATGACATCTTGGGAATACTAAATCTTCCTATCCACAAATACAGAGTATCTCTTATATTTTTTACTTGATTTCATTCCACACAGTTTTGAAGTTTTCCTTATATAGATTTTGTACATATTTTGTCAGCTTTAATCTAAATATTTCATTTTGAGTTCAGGTGCTAATATAAATTACGTGGTGTTTTAAATTTCAAATTCCACTAGTTTATTTCTGGTATATATCAAAGGGACTGACTTTTGTATATTTTCCCTATATCCTACAATCTTAATTTAATCACTTGATTGTTCCAAGAATTTTTTTTTGATATTTCTGATTTTTTATATTATACCATCTTGAACAAGGATGGTTTTATTTCTTCCTTCCCAATGTCTTTTATTTATTTTTCTTGTCTTACTGCACTAGCACGTACTTATGGTATGATGTTGAAATGCAGTGGTGAAAAACTACATCCTTACCTTGTTCCTGATCTTAGTGGCAAAGTTTTGAATTTGACACATTAAATATGTTATATAGGTTTTTGGGTAGATAATCTCTATCAAGGTGAACAAGTTTCCAAATGTTCCTAGTTTACTGAAAGTTTCCCTCCTTCAGGACTCCCCCCACTAGCCCTGCCATGAGTGTTGGGTTTAGTCAAAGCTTCTTACATCTACTGATATGATCACATGATTTTTCTTTATGCTATTTACTGCTGAATAACATCAACTGATTTTTGCATGCTGAACCCAGCTTGCATACCCGAGTTATATCTTGTTTGAAATCTATGACTTTATTTAACATTTCTTGCATGGCAGGTGCACTGGTAACAAATTCTTTCAATTTTTATTGACTGAGAAAGTATTTTGCCTTCAGTTTTAAATAACAATTTCACAGGCTAAAAATTCTATGTTGGCAGTTTTATTTTTCACTCAATGTTTCAAATACTGCACTCTACTTTTTTATTGCTTGTTTGCATGGTTTCCAAAGAGAATATGGATGTAATTTTTATCTTTCTTTCTCTATACATAAGGATTTTTTTCTTTACCTTTAATTTTCTGTAGTTTGAAAACATTTGTCTAGATAAAAATTCTTTTTTTTTTTTTTTGCTTTATGTTCTCTGAGGTTTCTGGATCTGTAGATTGATGTCTAATAGAAACGTGAGAAAATTTCTGTCATTATTACTTCAAGTATTTCTTCTCTCAGTTTTCCTTCTGATAACATTATATGTGTATATACAACTTCTGTAGTTGTCTCCATCCTTGGGTATTGTGTTCTGTTTTTTATTCTTTAGGTCTTTGTTTTCTTGCTTTAAAGTTTTCAAAATTTCTGTTGATATATCCTCAAACTCAAGAGTCTCTTCCTTCAGCTGTGTCCATTGTACATCAAAGGCATTTTTCCTTCTTTTATAGTGTTTTTGTCTCTAGGATTTTTTAGTTTTAAGAATATTTTTGCCTATGAAAAGACTTTATGAACAAAACCTCAGTAGCATGGGAACTAGCAGAAAGAATCAACAACTGTGACCTCATCTTATTAAAAAGCTTCTGCACTGCAAGAGAAACCACTAACAGAACTAAGAGACAACCTACAATGTGGGAAAAAATTTTTAGCAGCTGTCCTTCAGACAAAGGACTAATATCTAGAATATATAAAGAACTGAAAAAAATCAGACCCCTCAAATTCAAAGACCCAGTTCAAAAATAGGCATCTGAAATGAATAGACATTTCTCAGACAAAGAAATAAAAGCAGCAAATAAAAATATGAAAAAATGTTCAACATCACTGGTCATTTGAGAGATGCACATGAAAACAACACTGAGATTCCACCTCAACCCACAATGAATGGCTGCTATCAAGAAATCAACCAATAACAAATGCTGGCGGGAGTGTGGGGAGAAAGGAAACCTTCTCCATTGTTGGTGGGAGTGCAGACTGGTGCAACAACGGGGGAAATCAGTATGGAGATACCTCAAAGAACTAGGGCTAAAGGTCCCATTTGACCCAGCTATTCCCCTGGTGGGGATCTTCCCAAAAGAATTAAAAGAATCATACCACAGTGATATATGTGCACCCATATTTATAGCGGCACAGATTGTAATAGCTAAAGCTTGGAAACAGCCCAAGTGCCCATCAACTGGAAACTGGATAAAGATGTGTTTTTTTTTTTTTTTTTTATAAAATGGAGTACTACTCAGTCATAAAGTATGAGAAATTAGACATTTATAGCTAAATGGATGCATATTGACGACATACACTTAAGTGAAATAAATAGGACACACATGTGTAAATACCGAATAGTTTCTCTAGTGTGAGAAACTGAAAGTATAAATAAGGATTAAAATGATTAAAACGAAAAATTGATAATTTGAAATAGGAGGAAAAGGTCCAAAGGGGTAAGGGAAGTGAGAGGGGAAGGGGAAAGGACAGAAGGGAAAGGAAAAATTATGAGAAAAGGAAAAAATGGAAACAGTCTTTGTAAATAGGAAAGGGTGGAGGGGGTGAATGGTACACAGGGAATGGGGGGGAAAAAAAAAGAACCAAGATACATCATATACAAGTACAAGCACCCAATGATAAGTGTAAACACATTGCATACCTAAAATGTATCAATAAAAGAATTTAAGCAAAAAAAAAGAATCTTTTTGCCTACTCTGTCCACCTGTTCTTGCATGCTGTCTACTTAATCCATTAAGAACTTAATCCATTAGAACTCTTAGCATATTAATTACTGTTTGAAATTCCTAGTCTTACAATTCCAACATCCTTGTATCAGATTTAGTTATAATGTTTGCCTTGTCTCTTTAAATTGTATTTATTGCCTTTTGGAATGACTTGCATTTTTTCCTTGATAGCCAGAGATATAAAAGGAAGGGTTGTAAATAGCCCTTAAAGTGATGTGTGATAAGATGTGGGGGAAGGGGAAGTATTTTATAGGTCTATGATGGGGTGTCAATTTTTTAGTATCCTGTGTCTGTGGGCTAAACTTCACCAATATGTGTCAATATTTTTACTCCTCCTTGGGATTACTAAAGCATGCTGGAGTTAGGTATTTTCCTCCTCCCACACAAAAGGCTAGAGTTGACTCGAATGAGGGGATTTTTTTACTCAAATCCAGTCACACTCATGGAGGTGGAACTCACAAAAATGTGAGGGCCGTCTTATGATTGGTTCCCTCTTTATTTTTTAATTTTCAGAATTGTCCACAGTAAGCTTTAACAAATGGTCAAAGTTCAGGTTTGCTTACCCTGGCACTGCTTCCTAAGTTGTGAGTCTCTCTCTTCACTTCTGTGTCTCTCCAATTTGGGCTCAGTGGTTTGCCTGCGACCTCATTCTCTTAAACATTCAGTAAGATTTTTGGATTTTTGGGGGTTTCGTTACCTTTTTACATGTTGTTAAAACTGAGTGAAGACTTGTAAGTATAAATGCTTTTGTCAAGAGTAAATGAGATATATTGTGATATCCCTAAAATAACATTTATCACATAGTAAATATTAACTGTTATTAATTATCCTTTTATATACTAATAAATATATTCAGGAATATTTATTATGATAACTATTAAAGACAAGCCTGGGGAGACAAAGCCAGAAGAAAGGATAAGAATTATTCTTTTTGTACTTTTCCTGTTTGGTTTTGACAAAAGATAGTATGTTTTTAGTTTAAGTAAAACATAATGTCTACTTTATACAGGAGTAAGAGAGTCATTTTAGTAGCTAAATAAAAATATTTCTAAGAATCATATCAACTGCATTATTTTAAAAAGTTTTATTTTTCTGGTAATACATATACAGAGATCTATACAATGAAAAGTAGTGCCATATAGTTAGCATTTAGTATACAAACATTATGTTAAGAGCTTTATAATATTATCTCATTTAATCCCTCTCTAAATTGCTATGGCTGTTGTAGCTACTTTATAGCAGAGGAGATTACTTAGTATAACTGCTTTAAGTAATAAAGCAACTGGGGACTAGAGGTAAAATTGGTACAATAAATACTACTGTTTAGCTTGATATAACAATTGTTTCTAACTTTTCTCTTTCATGGAAACAATGTCATCTCTTATTTATAATCATATTTATAATCGATTCAATATACAAGGGTGATCCAAATTCAATTTAATTTTTTAGTACTGACTCATTTGAATCATGTTGAGGGTTTATTTTAAATCTCAGAATATTATTATCAGTCAACAATTTATCTTTTATTTTCATCAATAATCATCTTGGGATGCCTAGGGTGTTACAACTTTCCATACCTTCCATTTAAAGGCTTCTTTAAGATTTTAAATTTTAATTAGTTATAAAAGCTGTAAATAAAGTGCTCCCTCTCATCGGGATTGAACTCAGGGCCTTGTACATGTTAGGAAAGTGAACTACCACTGATCTACACCTCCAGCCCTTCTTCAATTAGACTATCCAGGCCACTGTGCCCAGCTGTCAACTGGTACATTTAAAACTCAGTGAATCTAAAGGGGGGATCATTTTGCAAATGTACAGTAACAAAGTATATGACAGGAAAAATGAATTGCAGTTAAAATAGAGATCTGATTTCAACATAATTCAGACTCTTTTACAAAGAGATATGTTGAAAGGGATCAGAAAGCAGAGTATTTTGCATTATTCTAACTGATCACCCCATATTAGTTCAGTATTTTGTGAAAATAATCAGTAATCATACTGACCTTGGAGTCATCTAATCCAAGCTTCTTTAGAGACTTTCTGACATAATCCAGAAAGGAAGAGCATTTGGAATAAATTTTACCAACATGCTGATTGCTGTAAAACAAAAGTGAATTTTTTATTTTTGGTTTTCCAATTTAAATTACAGATAATCTTAAATTCAAACATGAATTATTGAAAAATATTTTGTGTGTATGAAATCCAGATTGATCAAAATGTAGTAATACTTTTGTGTACATTTTAAAGTGATATAAAGCACTCAGGATCAGGATCTACATCTGAGAATTCTTACAACATACAGCAGTGGAAGACAATATTACAAAGACATGCTATGAAGAAGTTTTAAACATATAGTATTAAAAAGCCTCATTTAAAAAAAGTAATGTCTTTCAAAAGTTTCCATTGGGCTTCAAAATACCTTTTAATTTTACTAGCTTACCATTACAATGCACATTTCATTGCCACACCTACTAGCGAAAATAATTCAACAGCTATGCAAACAGAATTCCTTTAGTGACAACCATTGATCCAGCACCATATGCTGAACTGTATCTGACTTGATGCCACTTATGTCTTGCAGATTTTCATTAAGGTTTAAACAAAGTATCTTGAAATGGTCTTGAATTTAAATAAAAGTATGTTAAACTATCATATTTCATATATTTGGTTGCAATTTAAGCATAATATAAAAAGGGTAGAAAAAATCACCACCTACAAGTTATCAGAAACACTGAATTAGACCTCATTTACTCTTGACAGAATAAATATTAATCCTTAAGATTAAGGAGACATCATGGTTCTATCAATTTTTCCTTTGAAATATATCTCAAAAATACTCCATCAGGGCCAGCGATTTAGCTCACTGGTTCCGGTGCCTGCCTCGCAAGCACAAGGTCCCGAGTTTGATCCCCGGTGCCAAAAAAAAAAAAAAAAGAAAATTCCACCAGTCACATTTTAAGATGGCAGCCTCATTTCTACTTATTACATCATGTTCTGATAAATACAACTATTTCCTAATTAAGACATCTGACAGAAGTGTTAATTCATTTTTGTCTACATATTTTTTAAAAGTAACCTTTCTAGAAGAACATTTTTATTCCGCCATTTCCCTGTTCTAGAAGCTTTCAACAACTACTTTAGTTATAAATTTGAAAATGCTAAGGATGAGGGCCCACGTTCATAACCACATTTTCCTACTCTTTCATATTCCTTTGTGTTCCAGAGTTTGGTTTTCTCTTCTTAGATCTATCTACTCCTTGATTTAGATGCATCTCTACATTTACACCTCAGTGTGTTTGCTCATGTAGCCATCTCTTTTTTTTTGGTACTGGGGATCGAACTCAGGTCCTTGAGCTTTTAAGACAGGTGGTTTAACCAGAGCTAAATCCCCGGCCCTGTAGCCATTTCTTAATAGGTAAGATTCCTCACTTTTCATGTTAGTTGAACTAAGTCATTCTTTATGACAAAGTTCAAGTTTACATGTTATTTTTGCTAAAGTGACTATAAGTCATTTTTCCTGAAGCATTTTGAGTTTCTATAGCCCATATCCTTGTTCTGTTCAGGTTATTTTATCAGATCCTTGAATTAGCAGTGATTTGAATAGGTATAAATTCCCAGGATACAGGAACTATCTTCATACAGTTTTCAGCAACTTTCTCAGATTTTACACATAGTTATATAGCTTATGTATATCAGGTATCATGTACTAGATATGTATATCTTATGTATCAGAGAATATTGACCTTATTAACTGTGTAGGCAGAAAAAGATGCCATTTAATATTAACTTCCTGTCCTTTATTCTAATGTTTTAAAGTTTGATTTTGCAATACAAAAGGACAAGCAAATTAAATATTTCCTATGAGCCAGTGATTCTGATTCTTACTTTATACCAGTGGTGGCGAACCTATGGCATGCATGCTGCAGCGGGCTGTTTGTACCACTGAAAGCCCTAAAAGGTTTGCCGTCACTGTTTTATACTAGTCACTGAGTATCTCAGGAGAGTATAGCACAGCAGATAAGAGTATGGCTTCTAGTCAAATTGGCTCTATCATGTATTAGCTTCTTGATTATAAAAATGAGAAATAAACAGTACAGTACTTGTTTTGTAGCATCGCTGTGAGGACTCAATTAGATAAAACATGTAAGATGCTCAGAAGAGACATGGTAAGAACTGTTATTGTGGTTACTATAATTATTGTTGTCTTTATCATTACTGAAATTATAATCTGTATTTCTTTTTATTAGCATCAAAAAACCAGAAAAAGATGCTGATGAGTGGTAAGCATTAGAAGCTGAAAAGAGAATCTAAGTGTAAGGAGGTCTGATTTGTTTCCTGGGTTTCATTATTTCAGGCTGCTTGAAAACAAGAGAAACATTTTCAATTTTAATTTGCCCTTATATTACTTTTCCGTTTCAGAATATACTGTCTTTTACAAAGTCTCACAGCGTGATTATTACTTTTAGTGTGTTAAGTAACAGTTGGCTGTATGACTTTTGTCTTAAAATCCTTTGTCTTTAGTATTACCTGGTTTTAGCAACAAACAACAAAACCACTCAAATATAACTAGAAAGATGTTTGATCATGTTACCCTTCCTTTAAAATTCTTCAATAGCTTCCCATGAACCTTAAGATGTAAATCCTTAAAGCAGTATATAAAAACCTTGTATGATCTAGTTCTCATTCAATTTCTTCAACATGCTTTTATGACACTGCCTTCTCAGCAATACTGGGATTTTTTTCTGTATCTCGAATACACCAAACTTTCAGCTATAAACACTATTCTTAGAACATTCCACTCTCAATCTTTTTACCTTGAGGACACCAAACTCCTCCTTTCAGATCTTATCTTAAATGTCACTTCCTTAGGGAAGCCTTTCTGGCACTCCAGATGAAGTTGGGTTTCTGATACATTTCCTTCAAATATTTCCTATTTGTTTTTCTGATTTTTCTCTCCCTCTATATTTTAAGCCACTGGTCTCCCCAAAAGAGATGAATAAACCCAAAGGGAAAGAAAATATTAGAATCTACATTTCTACTTTATACTTTTTAATTTCAGTTTTTGAGTTTACTGTAAAACCTATAGGCTAGTACAGACATTATATCACTTATAATTATTCATTTTTATGTGCATGCTTAATGATATTTATTGACAAAGTTGCAAAGTGTAAACGTATTTTTGAGGTAACTAAATGGCTAGAGAGAAGTTTCTGTTTTGCTCATGAACATATTACCAGAACCCAGCACAATTCCTCATACATAGCAGGATCTCAATGCATGAATTAAATAATTAAATAAATAACCTCTCAGCTTACAGAAACAAACATCTTGTAACATGACAACAGGGAATGCATTAGTATGGTAAATAGGTCTATTTATTATAATCCAATAGAAAAAGAAAAGGCAGGCTTAACTATATAATGTGTAACTTAAAATATACAAAGCAACTACCGAATAAATATATAAGGAAAAGTGCAAAGTAAACAATGTATGTAGTTAGGTAATATTTACTTCATAGTAAACATGTGCCAGTGTTTCTTAAATCTTTTCCAGGACTGAATCATTTAATCCTTACAACACCACCAAATGTTTAAGTTACATTATTATCTCATTTTGAAGATAAACTACAGAGAAGTTAAGTAAATGGCCTAGGTCTGGCTTCAGAATGTAGGATATTAGCTATTAGTCAGTATCATCTCCAGCAGAATATGGACAACTCAACACGTGTTAAGTTGCAAATGAATATGATCACCTCTGTGTTACAGGTACACAGATGCAGCCATTGTTCCATAATAACCTACCAGAGTACGTATCAATGTGAGCCAAAAATACAGAGAAAGTTTAAATTTTAAAAAAATTATTATAATACAAGACACATTGCCAAAAATCCACCCTAAAATACTCCAGCTTATTTTGAACACACTTATCTTATTGTTCATACCACTTTTTAAAGCATTTCTGGAAGTCCTCATTTGTGTCTTTAGTTGAGCTGCTGTGGCTGCCTTGATGTCCTGAATCATTTCAAAATGTTTACTTTTCATGGTCGTTTTGACTTTAGGGAAGGGCTAGAAATTGCCCAGTGGCAGATCCAGCAAATAAGGTAAATGAGGACACAATGAAAGGTTTTTATGAGCCTGCCTTCACATTAGATGGCACTCAGCTCTAACATTTATCATGTTTTTGATCATATCTCAAAAAGACACAAAAGAGGACTTCCAGAATTGCTTCAGAAAGTAGTAAGAATGATGGATAAGTGTTTTCAAAGTGAGGGAGAGTATTTTGTGGAGAATTAATGGTAATGTGTCTTTTACTGCAATAAAATTTTAAAAATTCAAACATTCACTGTGTATTTTAATCACTCCTTGTATTCTTACAGAAAAGCCATGTGGGCTGTCCTGTTATACTTCAGAAAAAAATAAGTTTTAGTGCTTTAGTACATAATATGCTAAATAATTCTAGTAACTTAAATTGATATGAGAGGATAAGGGAACACACATGTAGCCAGAGGAGATTTGTTCTTTTCAAGTTCTTCATTGCTAGACTTACTATCCATACTGAACAGAAGTTATAGCTAGTCAGAAATATTTCAATTCTTTCCAAATGGTACTCATGCTATTCAGTGTGTTCATTCATTTATCTAAAAAAAACTCATTGAATTGCTGTATATGCGTGATAGTGTTGTGGGTAGCACAGGTCTTGAACTCAACCCTGAAACAGGTTTGAACTTTGCTCTGTAGGGGTCCACCCTGCTGATTATGCCCAAAGCAGGCTGTAAGCAGTGCAGGCTGTAAAGAGTTAATCCCTTGGGGCGGGGATTTAGCTCAGTGGTTTCACCGCCTGCTGCAAAAACGCAAGGACCAGAGTTAGATCCCTGGTACCAAAAAAAAGTTAACCCTACAATTGGTTTATTTTAAGAAGTGAGTCTGACTGAAGCTTACATGAATCATAGAGGCATTGTGGTAGCCCACAGATCAGCATGACCTTCCCACTAATGGCCAGAGCCAAGACCAGAAAAATGGCCTGGGAAGCTGTGGGACTCAATATGAGATAACATAGTAGCTGAGGTCAGAGTAATTCGCACTCAAATCCCATTCCCA